GCGCCCCGCAGGGCGCCCGGGGTGCACGGAGCAGAGGCTCTGCGGGGGCCTGAGCTTCCCCCGCTTCTGCGTTGCCGGGGATGCGGGCCGCGGTGTGCGCTCCGCGCCCCCTTACCTTCTATTATGTGCTTCCTCGAAAGGCCCCTCTCGGTCTCTGCTCTGGAAAACAGGGCAAGGGGAGACGTGGCAGGCGGGGTGGGCACGTGTGTGCGCCTGAGGGCCCGGGGTGGGGCTCTGCCTGTGGCCAGCTTGGGTTTGCTGAGAATAAATCAGACCCCGCGGTCCCGGGGTGCTGTCCCCCGAGAGTGCGGGCCACTCGCCTCTTTGAGTGTCCCAGAAGTGTTAGGGTGCTATCTGTGACCAGAAAGACAGCCCCTGAGGGTAGAGGCGAACATGCCCCCGCTGGAGTCTGGGACGCGGCGCCCGGGGGCTCCGGGAAGGGGCCGCACTTACTTTCCTCCCCAGAAGATCTTGGTGGTGATGACGAGGCTGGACCGCCTGTGGACGGAAGGGGGATGTTACGGCCCGCCCCCAGCCCTCTTCAGCCTTTGCTCGGGGCTCAAGCTCTTCTGCTCGGAGCGAACCGGGGTGCGAGGGGCCCTTCCGCATCATTCCCTGTTTGCCATGAGCTGAGCCTGGGCTCCCGGGGCCCCCCGGGGCAGAGAGGTGACCCAGAGACACCAGGAACTGGGGGTGGGGGTGGGGGGTTGAGGTGGGGAGCGCTGGGGCACTTGGCAGTGGGGTAAGTCTGGCTGCACCCCATAGGCCCAGGGAGGCAGTCAGGAAGTCTGTGTGTGGAGGGCGTGGGGGGCCTGGGGGGCCTGACGGAGGGAGAGGTGGGGGGGCTGGCTGGGCTGAGGGCCTAGGACCAGCCAGTGGAAGCGGATGGGAGGCTGGCTGGGGGTGTGGCTGAGCGCCCCAGGTGTGTGGGGGTCCGCTCAGCCTCAGCTCCGGAGGCCAGTGAGCTGTCTGACTCCTCTGCAGGACGACCCCTCCCATCACCTTGCCCCCAGGCCCCCCAGGCAGGGGTGACTTAATGCACCCACCTGCTGCTAACCAGGGACCCTAGTGCACACACCGCCCCTCATTACAGGGTGAGGAGCTCCACTCTGGGATCAGTTAGCACCGTGAAGGGGCAACACGGGCCTCAGGAGTGAGGTAAGAATAGGGGTGTCGGTCACCCACGCCTGAGGCACATTGTGGGGAGGCCCTGCCATCTCAGAGGGGGTGGGGGCTCTGCCTGGCCTGTCACCAGGTGGTGGCAGCTGCCCAACGGAGGGGAGAAGAGCAGGCCTCAGGCTGTCCCTTCCCAGGAGAGCCACCGCCCAGCCCGGACTAGAGACCCCAGGACACCCCCTCGGGGCTGGGCCCTTTGTAGGTGGGGGCAGTCGGCTCCCGAGGAGACTTGCTGAGTCCGTGGGTGGGGTGCGGGCCGGGGCCCCTCCTCTGCCGCCTCCGGGAGCTCCTGCCCCAACCCAGCACCGCACGGACACCCCAGGCCCGAGGGGGTTGAGCTGAAGCGAGGCCGAGCCATGGGGTCTGTCCCTGGGGACTGAATTCACTCCCCACTGTGACTCAGCTGATGTTCCCCCACCTTCCACCCCGGCTCCCCGGAGGAAGCACCCGGGACGCCCTTCCAGAGAAAATCCTGGGCCTCCCCACACTTAGGACTGGCTGGCCGCCCCCCGACGGTCTGCTGGGAATGGACCGAACGGCAAGGGGGGCGCCACACCCCCCGGCACCCCTGCATCTGCCTCTCTGGCCCCCAGGCCCTCTGCTGGGGAGCCCCTGCTGCGCCCGGGGCAGGCGCGGGCTGCGATCGTTGGTTACCTCCAGCCCTTCTTCTTGATGATGTTCCCCAGCACCACCTCGGCCCTGGAAAGCACCGAGACGCGAGATTGTTACGGCAGAAACAGCAGCCTGCCCCGGCCCTCGGCCTCCCCGGCCCCTCGGGCCCCAAAGGCCCCTTTGTGGAAACACCATGGGGCAGGCCACGGCGTCTCTCCCCGAGGGAGCGGCCGGGGTGCTCCCTGTTTCCCCGAGGCCCGGGGCCATCCGGGCAGGGGCAGGGGGACTCTGCTGGGCCAGGGAGGCGCTGAGTCCCGCTTGGCGAGGGGCCGGGTTTCCAGACAAGCAGGGTTATTCGAAAGGTAAATTAGTCATGGCGCGGCCTCTGCCCAGCGACAGTCACCACGCACGCGTGCAGGCGCCGGGTTTCCAGCAGCGTGCGCGAGGGTGTCCACGCTGTGAGGGCCACGCGTGTCTGAGCTGGTGGTGCGCAGGTGTGTCTGGCTCGTCCGGCTCTGAGCAGCAGCAGAGAGGCAGGCCGCGCCCCGTCTGCCCTGCCCGGCGTCGCCCCGCCCTCGGGGAACTCGGCCCCCTGGGGGCGCTCCTGGCCCGGGCGGGCACTGTGGTGCTGGATTAACTTTCAGGAGCTTTCTGCTGTGGCAAAATGTTTCTGATCAAGGCCAGAGTGAGGAAGGCCCAGGCTGCGCCCGCCAGCCCCGGAGTGCCCGAGCCGCCCCGAGCCCGACGCGGCTCTCGTCTGCCAGCGGCTGGCCTCCCTCCCAGCGCCCCCCCTTGGGGTCACGGTGCAGCGAAACCTCGCTCGGCCTGGCTCTCCCCTTAAGTCCCGGATGTCACTGTGGGACAGAGGCGCAGGGAGGCAGAGAGAAAGCGAGCTGGGCCCGGTCACAGGAGCTGTGGGCCACGGGTTAGCCGGAGCCAGGAATCCAGACTGGCCCTGGGAGGTGGGGCACAGAGTGCCGCAGCCCGCCGGAATCGCCCCACCTAGGTCGGCACGAGAAGCCAGGCGCTGGCCCGCACCGAGGCGCAGCGGCTGAGCGAACAGCACCGGCCACCCTGCCCGCCGGCGCCGGCTGCCCGGAGGCGGAGGCTGTCGGCACCAACGCGTTGATGGGGCAGCTTCAGCCCCGGGCCGGGCTGGGAAGGAGCCACACTGGCTGGTGGAAGATGGGGGCCAGGATGGGGCGGGGGGGCACAGCCACCCAAGGGCGGCAGCCCGCCGAGTCTCGTAGTTTCTGGCAAGGGGCTTTCCAGAGGCCCCGAGACTGGGCCGGAGCTCATTCATGGCCAGACGCCCGCCGGCCCCGCATGCCAGCCTTGGGCTCAGGGGCTGCTGCTGGGCCTGGCGCTTGCTCTGTCTCTCCAGCCCGGGCCCTCAGCTCAGCTCTGAGGTTTCATTTTGATGCGAAGTTGCTGCTGGCTGGGCGGGGTTTGAGGGGCCGTGGCACGGGGCAGAAAGGCTGCCGAGGGGGGCTGGAGGGATTTGGGGGTCCCAGTGGAGGCCCAGGGCCACCCCTCAGACCCGGGGCAGAGGCCCGGCTGGGTCTGGGCCCTGCAAGGCCGCAGGCGAGGCCCACCGCGGCCAGGCTGCAGGGCCGTGGCCGGCCGGCAGGAGGGCAGAGGAGGACGCGTGAGCCGACGAACGACTTCACAAGCAAAGGCTGGCTTTGGCAAGCCGAGCAGGGGTGGCTGATCTGACGGCAGCCGGTCTTTACACGGAAGCCAGCAGCCTTGGCTGAAGAGGCTTTTACATAATTGAGTAGGGAAGCTGACTGCCAACAGGGAGGCTCCCCGCAGCCCCTCGCCCCTGCTCAGAGCCCCGTGCCCCTGCACCCTGACTGCACCCTCGGGATGTTCTGCGGGGCAGCAGCCCACGGGCGTGTCGGGAACCCCGGTGGCAGCTTCCTCCCGGCTTGGGGTGCCCAGACACGCAGCTTAGCGAGTGGCCAGCGTCCAAGAGCTCTGTGGGTCTGGCCATGCACAAACAAGTCATTTAGTGCCTGGAGGGGAAGGCAGAGTGGGGACCCTGGTGGGGACAAGAGCGACAGGCCACCAAGAGCGGTGGCTGCTCCCCAGGAGCCCTCGTGGGCGGTCTCGGCGGGACACCTACTTGCCCGCCGCGTAGACTTCCGCCGTGTCGAAGAGGTTGATGCCGTTGTCGTAGGCCAAGGTCATGAGCTGCTCTGCCATCTGAAACGAGAGGCCAGCGCTGGGCGGCCCGTCTGGCGTCCCGGGGTGCCCGGCAGGCCAGGGGCGCCCGTGAGCCCTGGGGGCGCCCGGCCCGCACTCGCGCTCCAGGGGCGGGCGAGGGGGCCGTGCCCAGCCGTGGCCCCACGGCGAGCAGGGGGTGCTGGGCGCTCTTGGCGCCGGCCCCGGCGGTCTCAACCCCCCACTCGGCTCAAGATCGCCCCAGTTCTCATCCTCTGACTCGGGCTGTGGCCTCACTTGGAAATGGGGTCTCCGCAGACCGAATCGGGGCGGGCCCCACCCGGTAGGCGGGTGTCCCCAGGAGCGGACCGGCGCGGGGGTGGTGAGCGTGGCGCCAGAGGCTGGGTGTTGTCGCGAGACACCCAGGGTCCCCACCACTGGGGCCGAGGGGGTTGGACAGGTCCCGGGCCTGCGGACCCGTGACACCTTGATTTGGTTTCTGACCTCCAGACGTGAGAGGATGAAGCTTTTTCTCCTCACGGCCCAGCCGGTGTGCTGTGAGGCCGGCGCAGAGGGGCTTCTAGAGCAGTGTCTAGGCGCGGCCTGGGGGACCGTGTCTGCCCGCCCCGTGTCTGCCCCCATTAGTGTCTGCGGAGGGAGCAGCCGGCACCCTCAGCAGGTCAGCGGGCCACGGCCAGCGCTCCCAGCGCCAGGGGTGCCGGCCCGGGGCCGCGGCTCCCCTGTGGGAAGGGCTGACGGATGGCGCGGCCCCTCCACGCCGCCTGGCTTTGCTCCTGGGCTGCTGCCAGGGAGTGTGAGCTCGGGGGCCGTGCCGGCTGGCAGTGGCGAGGGCCGCGGGGCCAGCGGTGCCTGCAGTTAGCCCCCCCAGACGTGGCAGCGGGGCCTCCTGGGCGCTGCTGGCTCACTGGCCGAGCGGCCATCCCTCTGGGCGCACGGCTGCAGACTCCCAGCTCCTCAGGGCATCCAGCCTCTGTGCCGGATGGGCCTCAGCGTGGACGGGCCTCCGCCACTGACCCTCAGGAACTTAGGACAGAAAGCCAGGCAGGTGCGACTTCGTGGGGCTCCTTAAGCCCCGAAGCCAGCTGCGAAGAGCGAGGCTGACGGTAAGGGCCGCTTTGCTTCTCGTGGGGGCCCTGCTGCCCCCGAAGGGCCCCGACAGTCCTGTCTCACTTCCGAGGCTCATCTATGCAGAGATGGCCCTGGGCAGGCCGGACACCTGACCACCGCCCTCGGGGTCATGCTCCCCGCCGCTTCCTCTGGCGCCCCGAGACCTCCCTTCCTGGGGCGATGCCCTCTGCAGAGGGCGGCCATTCTTTGCTGTCAAGGGCCAGGGAGGACGTCCTCTAGGCTGCTGGAGCCGGGGCCCTGCTCTCTGCCCTTGTCACCCGAGGTGCGTCGGCAGTCCACTCTGCATGAAACAGGCCTCAGCCGGCGCGCGGGAGGCCCGGGCCTCCGGCCGGGGCGGGGGTCGCCCCTTTCTGTCCGGGCTGAGGAAACCAGGCGGGGGCAGCGCTAGGGTGGCCCCACCACGGGACGGGCCTCGGCCACTGCCCGTGCCACGCCTAGACGGCCGGATGGCAACCCGGCGGAAACGTGCCGCAGGGCAGGTCTGGGGCCGCCCTGCGCTG